AAAAAAACGTTGTCTGACACAGTGTATTACGGATGCATGGCTGGCCACGGGAAGGCTCGGATCGAAGATTTGGACGAGCACGCGATCGAGAACATATTCGGTGTCTTGAAGCAGTTGAAGCTCCACGAGGAACTGTTGGACCTGATCAAACGCGAGGCGAGATCACAAACATGTCCATCCACCAACGGAGGCGAGAAGCTCAGAGAGGCATCCCACACCAGCAGAACTGGCCTCGCCACGGACTCCCGCAACAAGCTCGAGCTGGCCTACGCGCTGCTCGCCCACCTGGAGGTTTGGGCGATCCACAAACCCGTGGCCCACGCCACTTAACAGGATGGGGCCCTCATCATGGCGGTGCTCAGGCGTCACGCGGGCCAGAGCGGCATCAGCGTTCCCTGTTGACCCTCTTCCTCGAAAAAGTCGACCGCGTTTTGGAACTTCAGGACGGACAGACCTCTGAAAGAAATGCCCAGCGCGCCAGTCGAACATCAATTGTAGAGAGAGTCGCGAGGTCAATGATTTGGCGCCGGATTGCTTGCACAATCATGTGTCATTCGCTTTCAAGAACCTGAGAATGTAGCACGGCTCATATCAGTGTTCTACACCACTTCTGTCGCTGAGCTATCTGCCCTGGCCCCTGCGCAATTAATGGTTATATTGACTCCTGGCTTGTATGATGCATTCACCCTGACCTCGCGCCGCAGGGAAGCATCCGCCATCAGTTTCGCACGCATGGCTAAAGCGGCAAAGTCTTGATATAATACACGAGTTGTCGGTTGACTTGGCGATAGATGTTGCCATCTTCATGCGGTCGCCCCAGTGACGGGTGATTGATCCCGTGTCCCAAAGTAGATTGCAGCCGATAGTGTATTTGTATGAGCAGTTGCATGTTTGCCGCAAGCGCAGGTTTATAATTGCAGGCGACGTGTCGGACACCGCTACCGCAATGGAGCAGCATCGGAACAACAATCAGACGCCCCATGAGGGTTACAAAAGGGACCCCAGACGATCCTGGATTGCCAAAGGAAACCCTCAAAGCATTAGCAGCACCCACCACCCAGCACTTGCAGGACCCAGCAGCCTGAGGAGCAGGAGGGACGCGAGGGGTTGAAGGTGCAGAAAGAAGAGCAGGATGAGGAGGAGGGGGGGTTCTTCCTGATTCACCCGATGCGCAAACGCATCTAGACTACGACCAGTTTTCGCTCGCGGCGAGGCCCGCAGAGGCAAAAAGAGGAGGCGGGGGAGGAGGAGGAGATGGAGCCCTCCCTCCGTTTGAAAGACACCTGCTCGAGTGGCCCGCGCGGCCGTTCTCGTGGTGAGCCGGCGACCCCCCCCCCCTTTGGGCCCCGACCGCCCGTCTGCATCGGCATGCTTGTTCTGTGTTGTCCCCCCTGGTCTGCCCTGTCCATGCATTCGCTCGTCCCCCATTTCTCCTCCTCCTCCTCCTCCTCCCCCTCCCCCTCCTCCTCCTCCTCCTTTTGCTCCTCCTCCTCCTCCTCCTCCCTCCTCCTCCTCCTCCTCCTCCTCCCCCCTCCTCCTCCTCCTCCTCCTCCTCTCCTCCCCCTCCTCCTCCCTCCTCCTCCTCCTCCTCCTCCTCCTCCTACTCCTCCTCCTCCTCCTCCTCCTCTCCCCGGGCCCTGCCCTGCCGGTCAGCCCCGGCCTCCTTTGCCCCCATGCCGTCCACGAGCGGCGGGCCCCCCGTTTTCTTCGCGCTCCCCTACGCGGTCGGTCCAGGGAGGGTACCCTCGTGTTCGTCGTGTTTGATGGATGTTGCCCCGTCCCCTCCTCCTCCTCCTCCTCCTCCTCCTCCTCCTCCTCCTCCTCCTCGTCTCCTGTCATCTCCTCTGCTCTCCTCTCCTCGCCCCTCCCCACCGCTCCTCTCTCTCATCATCCATCTTGGCCATCCCTGCGCGCAGCCCACACCCTCTTCCGCCATGCGGTGGGAAGCGGGGCCGCGCGCTCGCGCGAGCGAGCGCATCACGTTCGCACGGGGTGGGGCCCGCAGACTCGTTCGGGCTGGCCAGCTAGATCATCCCTCGTGCTCCTCCTTCTTCTCGTGTTTGATGGATGTTGCCCTGCATGGTGGCACAGATCGCTGAAACGGCACCCCCGTTTAGGTAGCTCTTCTCCAGCGCAGTTATTCTGCCTGGCCGCCGACGCACAAAGTTCGTTGGATGTTCTTGTGCACCCTGGGGAGGGTGCACTTGGATGTTCTGCTTGTTTCGGCCGACGGAGGGTCTCATATTCTTGGGGATGTTATTCTGGCTCAGGTCCGACTGAATACCCCTCCCTCTTGTTCACTCCCGCCCCATCCACCCATCTTCCCCCTGCTGTCCTGGCTGTTTTTGGCGCTACCCCCTTTTTTCCTCCCTTCCCCTCCCCGTGTTCCCATATTGCCCATCTCATTCGTCTGCTGGTGGCGCGGTTTTGGTCTCTGCAGTTCCCCATGTCGTTTTCTCGAGGAGCCAGCCGCCACTGGTTTCTGCACCTCTTCGCCTATCCGCTTGTCTGCTTGCGCCGCTCGTACCTTTAGATCTATCATATTGTACGATGGGTGGGGATGGAATCAGACGTGCAGCCGCCAGAAGCTTTACCGTCTATTCAGCACGGCCACGTTGCGTGGGCCCGGATGGGTCGGACTCACGCCTGAGGGTCTCCCATCGTACGGGATGAAGGGCACAAGCTCTGGTGCCTGAGGCCGTCGAGACCACAACCCGCACCCCCGGCACCAGCAACACGACCAAGAGCACCAGAAGCAGGTGTTGGAGTTTGAGCATCACGAGCAGAAGCAAGAGCACGAGAAGCAGGGCGACAACGACGGCCAGCAGGAGAGGGAGCAGGTACGGTAGGCGACCAAGTAGCCAGGTGTCCCATGAGGCCCCGTTGGGCCCCCCGCGCGCGCAGCCCAGAGCGGCGGCATCAAAAGGACATAAGCAACCAGGCCCTGATGGTCGTAGGGGTGGGGAGGTTGGCCCGCGGCACGTGTTCCACCACCTGCGACGCGCGCCAGATGCGATCGCGGTGGACCAGGACAACGACCGCGAGCCGACATCCGTGAACATGGGCGTGCGCGATGGCTCCAGGCGGTGCGCCGAGGAGGGCTACGCAAAACGCAGGTTCACACATGGGGCACGTGGCGCCCATGCGTTGCTGCAGGAACACACGGACTTGGACGAATCGATCATCGAAGGCATTGGGGATTACCAATGGGGTCCCAATGGCGAACATGAACTTGGCGGCGCTGACGACGGAGACGACGTCGCCGATGGAGGGGCAGGCGACGATCCAGATGCTGGCGGAGGCGCAGGCAGGGAACCAGGGCCTTCTGCCCATGGCGACGATGAGTTGCTCCAGAGAAATGCAACCAACCGCGCGGAGAGTTCCGCCCAAGGTCGGGTTCGGAGTTGATTCGGGCAGGCGATCTGGACGCCGCCATGCGCTTCCTCGATGAGCACACCGACAAGGGCAAATGCGAAGCCTTCGCCTGAATGATGATCGGCATGATGAGCAGTAGCAGGCGTGACGAGAAGGCCGCTGGAGATGCTAGCGGTGGCCCGAGAGGAGGAAGACGTGGAGCAACGGCGCGATGCCAGGGAGGAGGAGAGGCATTGCGAAAGGGTCGTGGACGAAATGCGCACTACGCGAGCGCTCGCAGAGGAAAAGGCGAATGAGAAAGGCTGGGTGCACTGCAGGAGTTTCTCCGCAATCGTGACGAAGTAACGACCGTGAAGGGAATGACGAGCTGCATCGCGCCCAGCAACGATGGCTGCAGACGGACTTCCCAGTGGACCTTGCAGAACGTCCAAGCAACTACTACTGCGGACTGAGGCCGGGCCAGGAGACTAGACGCGGCAAGGCAGGAAGGTCATGATCGGTGATGTATCTGTTTTCGCGACGCGGTCTGATCTTGCAATTAAGATTCCATATCTTGCTGAAGCTGCCGTGGTGGACCCCTGGTGTGCACCAGCATCAACGCGCCCGATAAGTTTGGGGTCCTCGCAATGTCAGTCGAGGTCTTCCATTCCCGTCGCTTTGGGAGAAATGCGAGGTGCCTTCCCTCGTCGATATGCCAGATGCAGACCAAACATGGTTTTGCTCGCCCTCCCCGCGCCACGCACGCAGGTTTTTCGCGCGGGCTCTCGCGCCAGCCCACATGATGCACAGAACAGAGCAGGGCTCAGGGGGGAAACTTTCGCCCATGGTGCCTTCGTGCTCTCCGCGCGCATGGGCGGAGGAGTCTCCCCACCGGGCAACCCCTGGCCCCCTCCGCACGCTTGGTGCCTGGATTGCAGGCCACACCCTGCTCCCGTGCTGGACCTTGGACCGGGCCCCCGACGGAGGGCCGGCGCCGAGAGCGCAGGCGGAGAGCAGGCGGGGCGGGCCCCGCTGCCGTTGACGCCCGCACTGGCGCAGGCCGCGCATTCCGCCAACACGCAGTCACGTCCAGCAGCAACCTCCTCCTCTTCATCCTCCTCCTCCCCCCCCCTCCTCCTCCTCCTCCTCCTCCTCCTCCTCCTCCTCCTCCTCCTCAGCAGGTGGGGAGCCAGTCTTCTGCCAAATACAGTTGACCGCGTCCCTCACGACGCATCCAATTCTTATCCCGGCTGCACTGCAGCGTCGCTTCATATTTTCCCACGATCAGGCTAGGGATGTGTCTCTGGAGTGTGTCCTACCTACCTACATCCTCAATGTAGAGCCCGATTCGCTACACGTCGACGTCGCTGGTGCATCGCCGACGTCGAAGATGCATCGGTGATGCATCGACGATGCGATGCAGTTCGCATGCAGCAGCGCTACCTCCGTTGTCCAGAATAGCTGTGGGTACTGTCCTGGAGAAGTGTCTCCCCCAAAGGCCAGAGGCTGCTCGAGCAGAAACTGTCTGGACAATGTGTGGGAGGGGTCCTGGGATTGGCTTTGGCTGAACTTCGACCTTGAGCGGATCTTGATTGGGAGGAGCAGGAGGGATAGCATTTCCACGTCGGAGCAGACAGTGCCGCCAGTGACCTCGAATTCGGCGCCATCGGCCACTCCATCGGCTGCGCCGCGGCACTGCGACTAGCCACGGCCGGCTACGGGGGAGAGGGGGGAAGCGAAGGCAAGTGGAGGACGGAGTCCGGAAGGATGCTGCTGACATGGGACGGAAGGGGACGTGCGGGATCTCAGGGGAGGAGGCGGGACAGGATGAGACGGTGTGGGAGGGATGGGCGGGACGAGAGGAGTCTGGATCTGAGGAGAGAGGAGGGGAAGGGTACGCTTGTTGTTGCGCCATCGGGTTCCAATGTTTCCGTGTGCGCTGATTTGCTTAGGTGTCTTGCAAGTGTCGCATCATGAGGTTGTTTTATGTGTTGTTATGTAGTCGTCTGTTTGCGCTCAGATGCTCCCCAGCTTGTTGCAGGTGGTTATAATTGTTTGTAGCGTTGAGTGTATGCAGTAGCTGTTGTACCGATGTCTAGTTATACCGTGCGTTGCAGACTTGTTGTTCTCCTGCAGTGATGAACATGACGCTCAGCTAAAATTCACCCCTAGGAACAATGTGTCCGTTATGCTATCGATAGTCCGCTTCATGCGGTTAGCATTCGGGGGTCATCATCAGGCGCTCCCCCTCTGGAAGGGGCCGATGTATGCATCATGGCTGGGGCATGTGCCTTGCCTGTCAGCATCAAAATGTCATCATATGATCGGAGCATCTCTTTGCAAAGGAAATGGGTCATGCTTCGCGTATCACCGCCAGCTCATTCGGAAATTCTGCCCATGAGAGTTGACGGGAAAGGGGCGAAGATACACCCATAGTGAAACAAAGCGGGCAACCAGGGTGAACAGAGAAATCTCTGCGAGCGAGGGAGTGGCTTTGGAAGGCCTCTTCGGGCCATCCCTGGGGCCCGCGAGGGGGCGAATGAAGTAGGGGTAGGATGAGGAGGACGAGGAGGAGAAGGAGGAGGAGCAGGGCAGGTCTGAGCAACGCAAAGAGGAGGAGGAGGAGGAGGAGAAGGAGGAGGAGGAGGAGGAGAAAGAGGAAACGACGACGACGACAACGAGGGAGAGGAGGAAAAGGAAAAGGGAGACGATGAGGGCAAGGACGAGGACAAGGAGGAGGAGAAGGAGGACAACGAGGACGAGGACAGAGCCCTCAAAATTGCCTCTTGGAGCCCTCTTGGAGCTCTTTGGGGAGATCTTGGGGTCCCCTTGGGACTCTTTTGGGGGCCCTCTTGGAGCCCTCTTTGGTGTCCTTTGGGAGCCCTGGAGGGCCTCTGGGGGCCATCTTGGAGGCCATCGATCAAAAGAGGGGGTTCTCGAATTTGCCTCCCTCCATGGGGCCATCAAAATCGCCTCTTGGTACGCTCGTTGGGCACCATTGGGCCGATCTTGGGCGCTTTGGGTTCCGTCTTGGAGATATCTTGGAGGCTTCTTCGAGGCCTTTTGGGCCGTCTTGAGCGGTCAGAAACCCAAACACGCGAGAGCCTCGAGCTGTATGCATCATGGTTGGGCATGCACCTTGTCCGTCAGCATCAAACTGTCGCCATTCGATCGGAGAATCACCTTGCGAAGGAAATTCGCGTACACATGTTTTCCAACGGTGGTGTTTTTGACACGTTGGCGTTTGACGATCCCGTTCAGACCGTGCTGCGCGTCGGAGTCTTATGAGGGATCAACGTGCAATCTCAGGACATCCAGATGTAGAAAGAGGACAAAGAAAACATTGGCAGCCCTAGGAGTAGAGAGGGGAGACACCGGCAGCCCTAGAAATGGTATGATCGTATTGTTGACAGACTTTGCAAGGCATAGGTCAACAAGTTGCATTACGGAGTATGTGTCATTTTTCTTGGCATGTCATCTCCATTGGTTCAGAGTTTTTCAAAACGGTGCAGATCCACAGATGCAGTACTCGTGCCAGGGTGCTCTTGATGCAAATGAAAAGGGTTGCATTTTGAAGCGCTGGTCAATGTTTTTCTCGTGCATGGTCTCGGGGCAGGCCTGATTTGCCCTGGAGAACTCGCAACAATAAGGTGCGTGAACAAAGCATCAAACCAAATTCGGAACTACGGCGTCGTTCGCGGCAGGCATAGGACGCGGATTCGAGCGCATTCGACAGTGGCACAGCCGAGAATACAGCCGATGACATGCCCAACGCCTCCTCAGGGCCTCTACGACCAAAAGCAGGTCCAAAGGCTGCATGGATGGAGGTGGGATCCTGTTCAACATCGTCTCGTCGCGGGGACTTGCTCACACCTTCACCAGCTACGCAGATGTAGCGATGAGTTTGGGAGTTACTGTTCTCGCTTGAGCCTCCCTCAGACGTTCTGTCCAGAGACGCGTTCGTTTTCAAGAGCAGGTGCACGGATACGTGGCACATCTCCGTGTCAAAGCCGTTTCTCCTTTTACTGCACCGCGCATATTTCGAGCTCGCCCCCTCCTGCCCCGTTCCGCTGGCCCGCCCGCCTGCTTCGTCCCGCTGGCCCCTCCTCCTCCTCCTCCTCCTCCTCCTCCTCCTCCTCCTCCTCCTCCGCGCCCGCGCGCTCGCCGTCGTTTGCTCTTGCTCCTCGTTCCCCGATCTCTCCCTCTCCGCCGCCGCGCAGCACGGACTCTGCTCTGGGGAGAGCCGGCGGCGGAGCTTCGGCGGGGGCCATCCGCTCGGGAGAGGCTCGTGATCAGGTTTCGCCGGGCCGCTGAAGGAGGAGCCCTTGGGCTTTCCGAGGTCTTCCCCGGGGAAATCGAGGCTTAACCTATGGAAAAAGCAGGGGCCTCGTTCCCTGATTCAGGGTTCCTTCTGGCAGCGTGTCTCGACCGTGTGTGATCGGTTTCAGGCGCTGCCGAAGTGGGCGTGTCGTGTGGCATCGCGGATCCAGTCGAGGATGCTTCACGGGAGTGTTGCTCCACTGCGCAGATTGGTGGCGATGTATGATCCAACTCTTGTTGTTGTGACAAGGTTACGCGGTCTGGTTCCCAACCACCTTGTGGTGTTGGGTCTTCGCTCTGGATCAGCAGCGCCCCGCGTCCGATGTCGCTCTCCTCTGTCACGCATTTCAAGCCCCATAGGAGCTCCACAGAAGGCCGACATGAAAAAGTCCGCATGCAGTCGTGGGTTCATGTCACTCGACCTTGCCACGCTGTTCAAGCCCCACGGGAGCTTCACGGAAGGCCGACGTAACAAGAGTTCGCATAGAGTCGTGGGTTCATGTCACTCGACCTTGCCACGCTGTTCAAGCCCGATGGGAGCTCCACAGAAGGCCGACATGAAAAAGTCCGCATGCGGTCGTGGGCTCATGTCACTAAACCTTGCCACGGTTTTCAAGCCCCATGGGAGCCCCACTGAGGACCGACATGAAAAAAGTCGTATGCGCTCGTGGCCCCATTTCGCTCGCCCCATGTCACCCCCCACACGTGCCGTGTACCCATGGGGAGTTTCCCCGCCTTCGGCACGCCTGCCCTGCGGCATTCACAACTACATATGGCCGGGTCTTTCGCCACGTATCTTTTTTATCAGATGGTGGATGATTATTTCAGAACACGCAGGGCTCTCGCCAGGCAGGCACATGGAGGTCTCACCTTTCAAGAGGTGCTCGCAGCAGCGAGACGAAACGCTTGCACTGGCAGCGACGTATTGTGAGGGGATGTTTGACGAGGCGGCGTTTTGCAGCATCATTTGTGCTTGCTGGGTTCACTCCAGTCCTCATCATCCTTCTCATCCTGCCCTTCCTTATCCATTGTCATCCCTCCCTTCCTTCTCCCACCTTCACTGTCTCTCCTCAATTCTCTCACCCCTCCTCATGAATATCGCCCCATCAAAAAATACCGGCAAGGACGCATGAGGCAGAAAGGGGGCATGGGAACAAGGGGCACCGGGAGGAGCAATAAGGGAAAGTGCAGCAACGGCGCAGCAGGACGCGTTGGGAGAAGTGGGCACATCAGGAAATGGCGGCAGACGGGCAGCAATGGGGTGTCAAGGAGGGGAGCAAATGTGATCCAAGTTGGCCCGAGTCGGCTGCAAGTTGGCACAGCTCGGTTGGCACTACAGAGGCCCATCTGGGACCCAAGTTGGCCGCTGCTGGCATGACTGGGTCTCTTACGGCCGCCATGGGTATGTATATGGGCGATCCCGGACGCCTCGGAACATTTCATTGCAAAGCCGTGTTGGAGCAACAGGACGCCTATGACAGCGACTCGCAAGAATCGAAGCACGGGCAATTCCTGTAATACGTTTCTCGGATCGGATGTTGGGGGATGATATCGGAGTGCAACGGGGTCCCCAAACCGAGAAGTAGATTTCTTGTTCGGTCCGTGTCGAGCATGACGCGCGTGTGCGCGAGGCGAAGCTGCGCCGGGGCGAGGCAGATCCCGGCCCAGTTCGTGCAGGTTGCCGTCATCCCGTTCCGCTCCCGCCTCGGCGGGCGGTGGTTGTTGGGTTGCCCCGCGCTTGTCCCGTGGTTGTCCCAGTGATTGTCCCGTGGTTGTGCCGATGGTTGTCCCGCGGTTGTCCCGATGATTGTCCCGTGGTTGCCCGTGCCCCTCGGTTATCCCGTGGTCTGTTTCGCGGTTGCCCCGTGCCTCTTGGTTATCCCGTGGTTGTCCTGTGGTTGTCCCGATGAGTGTCCTGTGGTTGTTCCGTGGTTCTCCCGTGGTTGTTTTGAGGTTGCCCGTGTGTGTTCAGTCCAATGTCCTCCTATTCCTCCTCTTTGGCCTTCCACTCAAGCGGTGACCTTCCTTCGAAGGCGTTCGTCCTCCAGCTTCCTGTGCGGCGGTTGTTATCATCCATAGTTCGCCCCCCACCCTCCTCGGAGGAGGAGAAGTAGTAAGGGAGGAGGAGAATAAGGAGGAGAAGAAGGAGGAGAAGAAGGAGGAGAAGAAGGAGCAGAGGGAGGAGGAGGAGGAGGAGGAGGAGGAGGAGGAGGAGGAGGGAGGAGGAGGAGGAGAAGGAGGGAGAGGTGGAGGAGAAGGAGGAGGAGGAGGTGGATGGGGGAGGAGGGGGAGAAGGACAAGAATGATGACTCCCTCCGACACCCTTCTCCCCGATGTCCTCTTCTGCCCGGGGAGGCGCTCCAGACGACCACGCCGCTCCGGCAGGGGCACCCAGTGTCCACGTTGCCTCGAGTGTGGAGCGAGAGGGGATCAAAGCGAATGTATGTTCATGCTTGGGATCATATGTATTGTGCATGGTGGCGCCGCCACAGTATCACATCCGTGGCGGGGGATCGGGACATGTGGTGAGCGTCCCCTGCTACGCGCTTGCCCGGGCCCCGGGCACCCAGTTGTCCACGTTGCTTCGCGCATCGCCGTCGCTCGCGCACTCCACGATCACTTGCAGTCGGATCGCAGTCGCCAAGTCGGCCGGGGAAGGGACGAGCGAGGAGGGGGGGCAGATTACAGGCTGGGGAATCCTTCCCCCATCGGAACGCCAGTTCAGACTGTCTGTTGCGCCCCAACCACATGCATGATGTTGCACGCCAACGAACCCTCCCCTGTAGAATCACGCATTGGCGCATTTCCAAGGCTCCGTGGATCGAATTCCTCGCAGGCCATCTGTATTAGCTGAGATTATGTAGCGAAGACGCCTACGGCGAATCAATGCCGCCCCCTGCCTTTTGAAAGAACCTGCGTGGCCGAACGTTGCGGCCAGAGCTCGGCCAAGCTATCGGACTACGGGTTCCACCGCCATTGTGAAAACCCGGATGAGAAGACATGGGGGAAAAGAAGAAGAGGAGAAGGGGGAGGAATTGTTCGGCGAAGGACCCAACCACATGCAGCTGTAAATATCGCGAGGCAGGTGAAAAAGCAGGGGGGCCAGCGCAAGGACTGGGACGCGGAGGAGGAGGAGGAGGAGGAGGAGGAGGAGAAAATGGAGGGGGGCGAATGAGGGCACGCGGGGGCAGGGGCGACGAGCGATCGGGCGCTCTGGGGGGGGGGGGCCTTTCTTTCAGTCGCCCGCAAGGTGCAAGCCCGTCGCTCGCAAAGAGGCGGAGCGAAGAGGAGTCCCGCGACGCGCGCTGGAATTCCAGCGACGCGCGCGGGACGTCCGCGGCGCGGCAACGCAAAGGCGGCCACTGGGGCATTAGGTGGAGCCCTCTGTGGGGCCACGAAACGTGTGAGGGGTGTGCCGACATGCGCGGGGAACCGCATGCGAGGACGGCCGCTGGGATCACAGGGGTGGGAGGAGAGAGGAAGGAAGAAGGAAGGAGTGACACGGGGTGATGTCTCTTCAAAACGAGGACCCAACACCACAGGACGGAACATTTGGAGCACTTGCGCAGCACAGCGCGCAGGGAAAGAAAGAGAGAGAGAGAGAGAGAGAAAGAGAGACAGAGAGAGAGAGAGAATGGGGTGAGGGCGAGGCACCAGTCAGCCGAGCAGCCGGGCGACGCCTGAGCTGTAGCCACCGCAGTTTCGCGCTCCCAACTATCAGCCAGCGCCGTTTTCGGGGGACCCTGCACAGCTGGGAAACTTGCCTTCTTGGAAGGGCTGGAACAGCCAGAGGCAAGCTGGCGCCAGTCAACAGAGGCTGTGCGACCGCAATGGTGGCAAGAATACATGCTAAAACGATCCCAGAAACCGAGGCGATGGGACTCGCATACATTGAGACCGCAGACAACCACGGGCCCACGAACCGAAACAACAGCAACCATGCTCCACTTCTGGGCCAAAGTAGACGGCTACTCCGAAGGACAGGGTTCCAGGAGCTTGCCCCGGGTAGAGAAACCACCGCATGTGGAGCAACGAAAACGCTTGCCATACCTAGAAATACATTGCGCGCTGCCTCGGGCAACCCTGTCCCGCTTGGTGTCCCAAGGGACCCTCTCAGGAGCCTGGACAGTGTTTTCATTTTTACTGGGACCAGTAGCTGCAGCAGCATCAGCAAGTGCCCTCCGAGCTCGCCTCCTGGCGAAAGCGGCGACGGTGTCCCACCGATAGGTGGCGGGCGCTTCGCCAACGAGGCCAGCCGTCCAATTCCGCTCGGCAGACTCGCCAGCAGCAGCATTGGCTGCTGCGTTGCCCGATGCTAGAAATTTCTCGTGAGGGCTCAGGCAGGGATCGTCAGGATCCACGTGGGACGGAGTCCAACCAACGAAGGCTTCGCCCTCCCCACGTCTCCCGGGAGCCCTCCGAATGCGTAAACACAAGTCCCCGTTCCGCCCGTCGCAAACGCCAGACCCCCGCTCCCACCCGACCAGAAGAGGCTTATGATCGGTGACAAACCGAATCCCGCAGGTTCGCGTCGTGTCGACCGGCGGCGACCCCAGCGCGGGCGTTCAAGGTTGAACGCCGCTTGTGGCCCAGAATCGGCCCATCCTTGAACGATCCGGCCTCTTTGACAGGGTCGATCGTTCAAGTTTGGACGATCCCCGCGGTGTCAGGAACCAACGCCGGGGTCGACACGACGCGAATTTGCCGCACGGCCCTCCGAGCCCTGAGGGCTGAAGCGAAGGCGGTCAGCTCCGCGCGCGGAACAGTCTGAGCGCGGCCAGCGAGGCGTGCAGGCACACAGCCGAGAATTGCCCACGCGTCCTGCGGACAGTGGGAGACGACAACGGCGCCCGAGCCACACCTGCGACGACGGGGGGGTCGGCCGAAAAGCAGCCCCCCCTACCCATCTCCGAAAATGACAGTGATCGAGCCATGCTCACAGCACTCAGCGAAAGAAACCTCGCTCGCGTTCGCAAGACTCGCGGCACCAACAGAGTCTGAAAAGGTCGGGTGGGTGAGTTCCGCAGGAGCGACACTCGCAGTGGGTACTGAGCTTCGCTCTTGCTATAATCTTCATGATCAGCATTGGCCTTACACAGCCATGCCCGACGCATTAAAGTCTCGTGGCGCTTCTTACAGCGGGGACACAACTGGCCCTCTGGAGAACTTACGGGGGAACTCCTGACACGAGGCCATTAGCCCCCCCAACAACGGCCACAGTGAGCCTGCGCTCGCTACACAAACCATCCTTCGACAAACGAGTCAACTCGCAGCGCACAAGAGAAGGCCACCCCCCGCCCCTCAAAGCATAACCCGCATCGTGTTCAGACGCCGAAGTCCAGGGCTGAGACTTCATATCCGAACGCAGGTCCCCCAGGAGCTCACACACTCTCAAATCCGACGGGTGACGCTTCGTGGAGGTGGGAATCGACCAGTCTTCAACAAGACCGCCAAGGGTGCGACGCCGCCAGACGGAAGCTTTCCTCGGATTCAATCTTGCATCGAGCAAGGTGGCCTGGGCGGCCAAGACAGCCCTTTGACCTTGCGCCACTTGCCGCGACCAGCCCGCTTGAAGAGACGGAGAGACGCCCCTCAAGCGTTCTCAACCCTAGCGCGATGTTGAGAATGATTATGCCAGCGCACCAAGAACTCCGAAACGATTTGCCTCCTGAGATCGACTCCAGCCGAAATTCGCTTCTAAGGCCGTCGTGAGGCACCAGCCTGGGAGCTAGCCGCAAGCTGAAGCAGCGGTTTGCCTGCGCAGCTTAAGCACAGTCTTGGGCGCAAGCCTTTGCACTCGACGATAACGCGCACCTTGGGGAAGGGCTCCAGTAGACCAAAGACCCTGACACCTTCTTTAGACGCGTTTCGCCTGTTCTTAAAGATTTTAGCTGCCATGCGACCAGCAGCTTTGGTGCGGAAGCTTGACTTGATGTCGGCGGAACCTACCAACATTGTCATCGGCGCCGCGATCAAATCCCGTCCTGGCGAGAGTGATAGAGACGCCCATGTCCTTGAGTTTGGTCGCATATCACACCCCTGGGCTGGGGGGAGACATCGACGCATTTTTGCCGGAGGCCACCAGGCGGCCCTGAGAGACGTCATCGTTTAAAATCGCAGACGAGTCGAATACGGATTGCCCCACAATTCTTTCGGCGCCTTCCACGCGCAACACCGCGCCATCCATAAACGGCCAAGTAGAAGCAATTTCGGGCCATTTACGAGCAGCATCCAACAATGGGAACAACAAATTGGCTGCCCTGACCCCATGAGGAGACCCCGCCACAAGCGAGCGGGCGGGGACAATCGGGTCCGCGACCCCTTGGTGACCTCTCAACCTGCGGGGGTGCAGTACAAAGTTGGAGATCCAGGCCCATCGCAATAGCAGAACACTTCAACTGCATCGCAGCATGCCCCAACATCACCCAGGAAACATGATCGCGCAACTTCTCAAGGTCAATCAACACGGTGGCCGCCGCGAATCCCAACCACACCGCCGCGTCGTCGAGGAGAAACCGCAAGAGCGAGGCTTGCAGGGCTGAGCTCCCTGCAAACTCCGCGCCCCAGCAATCACCGAGGCCCTGAGGCCGCTGGGAGGCGGGGCCGCGCCTCATTCGAGACCAAATCTTGGCCGACTCTGGCAAAAGACATCTGGCCTTTCCGCCGCCTCGGCGTCGGCGGCAAGGAAAACAGCTGGGCGGGCCAAACGTTTTCCCTCTCAACAGAGGTGGGAAGCTCGATGAGCTCAGCCTGGTCCTCAGGGGGGAGCCCCTTCAGGTCCACGGGCGCAAGCCCGTCAACCCCCCCCGAGCTTGCACAGGCAAAGACCCAGTCACCGACTGAAATCGATCCAGGGTGGGCTCAGGGATATCTCCCAGCCGAGCCGCCCTGCCCACTTCCGAGATGGCACGAGAAATTTCCTGAGGTGAGTCGATTGGGTCTGTCAACAACGTAGACCAAGCCTCTCTACGACTCGCCTGCCGCTTGGAAGAGTCCGCAGCCGATCCTCCTGGATCAGAATTTCGTCGACGACGGAAGGCGAATCCCGAACTACGTTGCGCAAGAGGCCAGGTTTCTTACTCCACCGATTCATAGCCCATTTGACAAACGCCTGCCTGCGACTGGTGAGGGCCCTGCCTTGAGCTCTACCTGCCAGCCTGAGCGTGAGGAACACTAAAAGCAGCCCCCCCTCAACCATCGAAGCCGGTAGAGTCTGGCCCCAAGAAGGCCAGCGCGCCCCAAGGTCACCCTCGCCTCTGCCGAAAAGCTCATCGGCTTTCAGGCCAGCTGCGTCTTGGACGCTACACCGAAGTTTAGCGAGACACGAAGCCTCCTGCCCAGGGCCCTTGGCGTGCCCCCATTAGACGAAGCCCGCGCCCTA